CTATATTTGGAGACCGGCTATAATTAGAATAGGGCTTTAAATAGAGGTTTTGTGGTATATATCTTGGTCTTGTGAATGCAGATATGTATGTATTCCAGCAGAGGTACACACGATTTAATGACGATTCCCCTGCATAATTTATGTATCATGTTATATTGCCAAGAGAATATTCTTGCTTGAAAATATTATTACGCTTTTCTTCGATTTTTAGTTATCTCCAATCTTTTAAAACCCTATTAAACTTGTCTGTAGCCCTATATGCACCAAACAAGTATGCATGCATAAATTATTTAGAACTTTTGTGGATTTCTCGACTGGCGGAAATGGATATCCATTGAATTATTAATATTTGATACATAATTAAAATAAATATGTCTCAGAATTGTCCAAACCTTCAGTAAAAAATATACTTATAGTCACTAGTTAACCTGATTTATGCATCCTTAAAAATAATGTTACCCTTTTGAATAGTATATAAGTGCCCCCTGAATTCCATATTAAGTAAACCCATAGTAGATAGCATAATAACTTGATTAACCTGATAAAGAGCAAGATTTACCTTATGTATGCATCCTTAAAAATGGTGTTACCCTTTTTACTAGTAAGTGCACTCTGACTGCCATATTAAGTATGTAAACTATACTAAACCCAGCTAGATTAACCTGACAAAGAGCAAAGTTTACTCTGGATTTGGCATAGTTTACTTACTATATTATTTAGTGTGCATTTAGTTTTCAAACGGGTAATATTATATTTATAAAAAGTTCGATTTATTTGAAGCATAAACTTGGACGGACACGAATTACCGTTTGGCTCTTTGCAATCGACCATTCTATTCCCTAAATTCCTTGGATTACACTACTGAGAAAATTTCCAAGATGGTCGTAACTCCGCTCATGTGGAAATCCATTGACAACTCAAACATCGCATTTTCCTACCTGTGGCAGCGGCCTTTCGAATGGGATATTAAAGCCAGGAAATTCATCGTCACCCCACGGAACAAGTTAATTCCGTTTTTTCTAGTAAATTTTGTCCTTCTCCCGATGAATAATATCTTCTGCTTGATTATCCTTGGGGGACATCTCTTTGGCGTGATTTCCCCCTCGTTTATCAATCTCGTCATCACAACGATAATCTTAGCCCTGTCAGGCTTCAGCTTCATAGTGGAGACTCGCCGTGTACCCTGTTTTCTTAACCCTTTGCGCACTCATTCTTGACTTTCACCCCTTACCCATGATTATTAATTGCACCTACCCTGATAAATTGTCAAATTACGCATCAATCTTAATCCTACTGGCCAAATCTCCGTTCATAGCTCTCATATGCGTCCATGTCTGCAGATCCTTTGCTAACGTCATCAGTCATTCTACGGTGCTAATGCATTTGGTGTTGAGTTGTATCGATCATGTGGTGCTAGATGGTAGACAGCTGGCACGGGGCACAGTGAGATCATCCGAGCTAAGCAGGAATTTGCACGGTTACGTTCAAATACAAGTGCTCCTCAGTCAGTTACCATTAGCCGCATTTGAAACGATTGTAGCCTCCTTAATGTTGTTAGGGCTCCTTGTCTGCGTCACGTTTAACTATGTGACGATCAAGATGCGCCACATCATACCGATAACGTTCTACGTGTATTTCCCATCTGTCTCAGTGCTGACACCGATCGTGATTAGGATCATGTTGCCCAAGACGGTGGCAATTTTTGAGGGTGGGCGTGTAATTAGGGACACAGTGTGGACGACCCTGCTGGGATTGAGCAGTGAGAAAAAATACTTTAAGAGAAAGATGAAGGGAATTGGTGAGATTGCGTTTTATGCGTCATTCTTTCAATATCGTTTATACCGGCTGCAAAATTCGACGAAAGCAACGTTCTACGCGGTAATAATTGATCGCACGATTACTGCCCTGTTGTCCATTGACAGTAGTTGAGCTTATATATCAGAATCAGGGATGGGCAATCCCAACAATTTCGATGGATTACGGATTACACATTAATTAATTTAAAAATTATCAGGGGATTACTGGATTGGGATTACTTTGTTTCTGAAATAATGTGGATTACTTGTTGGATTACTGGGATAAATTAATGATGTGGATTACGGATTACGGATTACAGTAATCAGATTACGGATTATTATCTGGATTACAAAAATCTATGTTTATGTATTAAGGGGTGAAGAGAAGCGAAATCCCTTTATGGAAAAGTGTTGTCCGCCGGTCTGTATAACTTTAGAACGGTTTCGAATTTTAACATGCAGTTTTCGCCTACAGGTTTCTAATTTTTGACGTACGGATGAGTTCGAAAATGGGAATTGTATGTCATAAGGTCACGGCGTCACGGTGATGATGTCACAGGTCAAATATGCCAATTTTTTTGTTTTGGCTGTTATAGACGTAGTTTCGGGCGAGGATTACAAAAATCTTCATAGTTTTGACGTGACATGACAGAGTGACCACGTCGACGACGCCAAAGTCGGAAATGTCGAATTTAGGGTTTAGAGTTTTGGGTGGAGATTTCAAAAATAAAATCTTGACATAGTTTTGGCATGTCATGACCGCGTGACCGTCTCGGTCCACCTCTTTGCTGCATTTCGTTTGCAACGGTTTATTCTGAATAGCGTCACACTTATATTTCATGATGAGGATTAGTTCAAAAAACAAGAGCTTTGAATGATTCATCCGACAGTCGGTTTCTTAGGGCAGACAAAATTGTGTTGTAGTAAATAGAGCCCTCATAATTGTTCCAAAATTCTCCATACTTTGCACCTCTCCTGAAGAATCCAGAAGGTAGTTTATGCACTCAAGTTCAGCAAGTGACGCAGACTCTGGAGAAGTTGCAAGATGGAGCTGTCATGCCGTTTACAGGAGCAAAGTAATCCAACAAAGTAATCCGTAATCTGATTACATTTTCCAATCTCGTAAATTGGGGATTACGGATTACACATAATTTCGAGACCTAGTTAGGATTACGGACTACGGATTACTTTAAACTGTGAATTTTTCGTGGATTACTGGATTACGGATTACATTCAATGTAATCTGATTACTTAATCTGATTAAAGTAATCCTGGGATCCCTGATTCAGAATAACTCATGCATACCAGGGCTTTCTAATTAATTCTCTAATTAAATAGCATGCTTGAACTAATTATTAACAAATAAACCGTAGAAACGTTAAAAGTAGTTCGCCCTTAATACCTCAGTGACAACATAAAAATTAAATTTAAAAATTAAGTATCTAAAATTCAGCACCCATGGTGCGAAATGAATGAACCAAAAATACATGATTTTCATTGAATTTTACGCCAATGGTAGAAAATAAGCGGACGAAATAGATGCATAATTTTCATTGGGTTTGCACCAATGGTGGAGAATAAGCGGTGAAAATACACCCAGAAGTTTGACGTTTGACGAAGTTTGATGATTTCGACCTTTTTAGTCCCCAGTTTAGTTTAATACATCGTGGGGATGTATTTCTGCCGGTTATTCTGCACTTTTGATGCGTATTGAATGAATTCTCCCAATTGTTTGGCACATTGGTTGCCAAACCTAACCGAACCGATAACCACCTTACATCTCCTCATTGTTTGTATCGACAATCCTTATTGTTAAGCAAGTAACAAATTTACAATGTCAAACCTTCTAAATATTTAGATGTCTTTAGTTAAAAAATGCATATGCCGCATACATTGTACAAGTGCACAAACATTCGCCCTTTTTAGGTCGTACTTTAAGAAATAAATATTTAATTAGTGCAAAGTACTGGAATACACGTAAGTACACTCTTAGAAATCCAGTATTAAAATAATTCCAATCAATATTCATATATGACTTTAAGTAGTATTGATGAGTAATACCGTTATTACTGCACGGCATTGCAGTAATAACTCGGTATTCACGGTTTATCATTTCAGCGTCAAATTTTTAGAGGCCGGTATAATTTTCATACCAAGCGTTAGCAAGTTTGATACCGGGAAATCCAGACGGATTTGGGCGTATCGTATCGAGTTTTTTAGAGTGTATTCATGCCACGTGGATTTTTTGCATACAAATTACATCAGTTCACATGCTACAATTCAAAAGTATGGAATTAAAAATACAAATGGTTAAGATGGGAAATATGTATCTAGCAGAAAAAAATTCTCACGGATCACTGTGCTTAACACGGATGAGACGCCAGACAGCAGGCTAATGTCTCTGGAATTGAGTATGGTTGAGTATGTATGCAGATGCGATGAAATACAACAACACTGACTACACCAGTAACTTGTTTTAATTTCGCGTGCACGTGTACATACATACGTACGTATGCATGCAAATGTAACTGATCCTTCGTATGTTGGAGAATATTGCGTGATGAGACACAACTCAGGAGGGGAGGTTGTGTACTATCAACTCCGGGATCTCAATGCCCTTTGGATATTTTGTAGTGTCCCATGAATGTACAAGAACCCAGAAGTGGTTTGATTCCATGATTTGCGCCCGCCACACCCACTCAAAGGTGCCCAAAAATCGCTTTCACTCCAACTTTCACTCATTCAAAACGACGCCAAAAATCCAATTTTGCTCCGATTTTCAAATTTCTTTCACCATTATACTCCCAGATAGTTGCTTTCTTATTTCCAACATCAAACTCAACTTTTTGAAATTCTTAGTATTTTTAAAATTTAAAATTCTGAATGAGCATTGTTGTAGTAATCAACAAAACAAATTATGCCTGCGAAATAATCATCAAAAAAGTTTAGTTTGTTGTTGGAAATAAGAAAGCAAATATCTGGAAGTATAATGGTGAAAGAAATTTCAAAATCCGAGTAAAATTGGATTTTTGGCGTGGATTTGAATGAGTGAAAGCTGGAGTGAAAGCGATTTTTGGGCACCTTTGAGTGGGTGTGGCGGGCGCAAATGTGGCCATGGAATCAAACCACTTCAGGGTTCTTGTACATTCATGGGACACTACAACATATCCAAAAGGCATTGAGATCCGGGAGTTGATAGTACACAAGCTCCCCTCCTTAGTACGAACATATACATATTTACAACGGGAAGATCATGTGTTTTGGGCACGTTAGAATTTTAATAATATTCAACAATAGTTTGTGATATATTTAAATGTGGAGATCTAAAAATAAAAGGAAAAACAGGAAAGGTTCTTATGTGTCGAGGGTGTATAGAGATTATGAATTTATCAGGGAGCTAGGTCGTGGAAGCTATGGGCTCGTTTGGTCTGCCAGATTAAAAGAATCGTCTTCCGAAGTAGAGAAATTTGTTGTTAAGAGGATTTTTCCTAGGTAAGATTTTTTGAATGTATGCATGAATTTATTTATGTATGTAAACACACCCTTACAAATTATGTTACCCTTTTGAAGAGTAAGTGAAATCTAAATCCTGCTAATTAATTGTTTACTACATACATATACATATAAACAATTCCAACTCAAGCATAAAGTTTAGCCTTAATTTAACGCAACTTAATTTAACGCAATTTATGTAAGATAATTTACATAATATGAATATATTTAGAATGCATGTACTTTGCAAAGGGGTAACATCACCGCTAAGACTGCACTATGCTTTGAAAAATAAAAGGAGGGTACTTTTTGCATGCCATGTTTATTGCAGGAAGTACTCTGAGTTTAAAAATCACATATTTACTGAGAATAATGTACTTAATAAAGTACCGTAATAAAGTAATGTACTTAGTAAAGTACTTAATTAATTAGGGACGCCACTGAAGGTTTCGACAACTTGAGACAAACATAAAATGAACTGGAAGCACTGTCCAAACTACGGGAATCGCAACATCCAAACGTTGTGGAAATTTATACCGCCTTAGTTGAAAAACCCCCGCTGGGCTGGGTAGAAGACGAAGATCTACTGTATCTCAGCTTTCTGACAAGGTTGGTTTCCGCAATTATACACAGACTCTTAGAAATCACGCTGGTATTTTATAAATATTCTCAGACTTAAAGATGCTATCAAGTTATTACTACGGGCTTACTTATGTATGAGGACAAACAAATATATCGACGCCAGAATATGTACAAAAATAATAAGCGAAGCAAGTCTGTATAATGTTAAAATAAACCGTAGTAACGTTGGAAGTAGCTCGCCCTGTAATACTATGACAAAATGAGTCAAACGATATACTTGCATATTCGCGTTTAATAATTTAAAATTCAATTTAATAATTTAAAATTCAATTTAATAATTCACAAAGTGTCATGATTTTGATTAGAGTTTACATTAATGGTGCAGAAGAAACGAATAAAAAAGACAAAATAGATCCAAATTTTGATATATGCATGCACTAATGGTGCAATATAAAGGACAAACAGCAGAAGGGGCCGAAGTAGGTTGCACCACCTGTGAAATATTAGCGACCAACTGCGCCACATAATTTTGAAAACTTTTTGTCAAAATTGTATGAGTTGTTCTACCGGAGATTCTGCACTATTGGTGCGTTGTACATCGGGTCCCCCAATTATTTCGCATCAATTTGTGCTACCAAATGTTAGATACCAAATGTTAGAAACCGTAGTAACGGTAGAAGTAGCTCACCCTGTAATAATGATTTGGTTATAACTTGCCCCAAAGGTGCAGAAAAATGCAACAAAGTGGATCAATAATTTTTATGCAATGTTGCACCAATGGTGCAGTAAAATTAAACAAAATAGATCAATAATTATTATGCATCGAGAAGAGGCCAAAATTTGTGCATCACTGGTGCAGAATTACCTACCAACGGTTAACGATAATTTTGAAAAATTTATGTCAAAATTGTATGATCATTTCTCCCGGATATTCTGCATTATTGGTGCGTTTTGCGTCCCTGCCTCCAATTATTTCGCATCATTTTGTGTTCCCGATTGTTAGATATAAATGGTCCTAATAACTTGTTAAAAAATTTGATTCTGTTTGTTTAGTACCAATGGTGCGCCTAACGTATCCAATAATGGTCAAGGGGCTGTTTAATTAGCATCATGATGCAAAAAACTAGTTAATAGACGGACAGACAGACGGACAGACGGACAGACGGACAAGAGGAATTCAATAGCTCTCATGCTACGCAGGGCGAGCTAATAAGGACACGCGAATGGTAGACATTTTTATTTGAAAGACTTTATTGTCCATATTTTGCTTGTCCAGTGCCGTTGTCCTCATTATACCCGGAGCTCTATTACCACACGGTGCAACTATCATTACCACTTTGTTAGAGTAATAAATATATGTATGAATAGCGCATGATTTTACCACTGGATTTCTAAGAGTTCGTAGTCAATCAATGCATTGATATTTATTTAATAATGTCTACCTAATTTTATTCTTGTTCCAGTTCCGACGGAGAAATTAATGTCGACTTATTAGACTCATGTAAGGAACCTGAAGATTCAGGGAAAATATGTCCCATCACGATTGTACAGGAATTTTGTTCGGGTGGGAGTTTAAAATCTTGGCTGCAAGAGACGCCTCTTGAAACTAGAGATCCTGATTTATTGTGTAAAGAACAGGTTTATTTTGTGAAAGTGATTGTTGCACATTGAGTGCAACACAATCAAGGAGAAGGTTTCCTTATGTGCAATCTTAATCAGATACATTTGTCACATTCTAGTTTTATATCGTGATCGCCTCTGGGCAGTGAGGCAATTATTGCAAGTCATCTCATTGTTATCTCTCTCACTCTCTCCGTAGGTTAGAAATAGGTATATCAACCATATATAAACAGCAGTCACGGCAGTACACGACAGGAATGGGGGACGGTGGAGGACGGTCGAGGAAGTATTTTGTGCTACTGCAGGTTACCTCTCCCAATATTATTGGGAGAGGCAGAGTTCTGCCTGTTTGTACAAGTAATAAATAAAACCTCTCTAAGAAAAGTGCAACCAAGTCTCATCTCGCCTCCCAATTATTACGCACACACCACAACGACGACGACGATCGTCTCATCTTCCTCATCACCACCATCACTGCAGTCAACCCCCCATAAACGGAACTTCACAATTGCTGAATTTTGCGACGCAAATGGCGGATGGATTACGGTTCCTGCATTATTGAGAAATCATTCATCGCGATCTCAAACCAGGGAATATTTTTCTCCGGCGATTTAAAGCAGTAACAAATATTTACATTTATTTGCGACTTTTTCTGATGAAATTTTTTGAAATGTGCAAATTGTGCTTTTATGCTAAATTAGGATCAAATTCTACTAAAGCTGGGGGATTTCGGTTTGTCAAAATTTATGGAAGACCTGCCTGACGAGAATGTATTGACAGCAGATGGACTTGGAACGTCATTATATTTGAGCCCAGAACAGGTAAAATGTAGTCAAGCTTTAGGAAATTCACGTAGTCCTTTGTGCATAGCACATAAATCAGCAAACTTGCAAACTTTTACAATACTTTAAAAATATTGTTACGCAAAATTATCTAAAAAAGAATATTTAAACTTGCTCAACTAAGGGTGTCCGTGTGTTTTGTAAAAGTTTGCAAGTTTGCTGAATTTTTTTTGGGATACTGACTTTCGACATGTATGTACATAAAACACGGAAAAACCTAAACCACCCAATAAGTTAAATTGATGACGTAATACGTGGTCGTTCCCAATCCGAATCCGATTCGAGTCCCTATTTGTGACGATTCACCCACCCCGATTCCGGGTGGGTTAGAATTTGGCCCTTTGGGATTAGACTCCGGATTCGGGCTAATTCAAATCCAGATTCTGTGGGGCACTCATTGCTACATATATTTCGGTTTGAACATGTTGGATATACAGCAAAGATTTGTATTTTTACAGGAAAACAATCAGCCGTACGGATTTAAAGTGGACATTTATGCCTTAGCCCTTATCATAGCAGCTCTTTACATTCAAAACCCTGCAAAATCAGTGCAATGCCAACTCAAGGATAATTTCAAAAGACAATTAGCACAAACTTATCCAGCACTTGATCAAATTCCTCCTCCCGTTACGAGCCTAATTTGTGAAATGATGTCCACAGATAGCGAGAAGCGACCTCCCGCTTGTGAAGTGCATTCCAGATTGAACGAAATGTGGAGAGGCAATTTAAAACTCCCGATTTACAGATTGGACAAGTCAAATTCGCCCGTTACCACTGCAAACGAGAGACGATCTGAGTTACTAAAACTGTTAAAACTTCATGATGATGGTCACGAGAATTTAGTGTTTCTAAGCGGGGAGGCGGGTTCTGGTAAAACGACATTGGCGCTTCAATTCTCACAACTAATTGAAACCAATGGTGTAGGAGAATCTATAATTTGGATTGACACAAATTACCAATTTCACATTAAAAATCAGCTCGGGTCTCTGGGATGCCGGGTTCGAGCTAACATTTACCGACCCAGTGGACATCGAATCGCGGTAAAATATTATTTATTTACGTGTTCGAACCCATTTAGGGGCCGTTCATAAATTATGGACAACAACAATCACCATTTTCTAGACCCCCGTCCCTCCTCTCGGGTTCCATATTTTATGAACAGCCCTTAAATGCAACATGAATTTTGCAGATCTCGGAAATGATACAAGAAATCCATATAAGTTTCCGGGGTAAAAAATGGGTCCTCATCCTGGATGATTTGACCCCCTCACTATATGAGTACGCTCTAATTCTACATTTGCTAAAATTAAATGGAGTTAAACCATTTGTCGTTGTGTGCACAAGAAAACCCAATTTTTTCTTAAATGACATTTTACAACGGCGACAAATCTACGTGGATAAAGATTTCGATGAGGGATACAAGATTGCAAGGTAATATTTACGTAAATTAACAATGGGGACCAAACTATGATCAACTCAGCTTCGTTTTTGACTATGTATGTTAGCTTGAAAGAGTAACTCTTTAGAATCAACATTTACTCCAGAACTTGTGCAGTTGCGAGAAATTTAGAAGCATTTGGGCGCCAAGTTTTTAGGCCGAAACTGTGTCACAATGTTTTTGCAGTAAAGGTTGTAACTACAGAGATCATCTTTCAAACAAAACTAACATTCATAGTAACGAAATAATCTGGGCTGCACAAGGTTTACGTCGCAATTGTTCGTTAATTTATGTATACACACCAATATTAACTAGTTCGAAGCGAGAAGTTCCTCGCTTTATATTAAGTTACCCCTTGAACGAAATTACTTGTAACAACTGTTACTCTTTGTTCAAGAATATTGCAAAATGTTTGTTAAACTTTCTAACCATCTGCGAAAAATCCGACCTGAATACTAGGCTTTAATCCGACTAAAATTTACAGAATGATGCAAAATGCATGGCAAGACATTCCAGAGGAAATAAATCCACCCGAAATTCTTATCAAGGGGTCGGACAACAGTTTAATATTTCTTGAATTTCTCTCCGAATCGCTGCAAGTTCCCATAACCCAGCTGCACGTCAAACTTGGAGAATACCTGGACTGGAACCCCCTCGCCCTTCGACTCGCCACCTGCACGATTTCTGCCCATGATAAGCTTCCACAAAATTCAAGGGACACCCTCATTCAGGACACCGAAGAATACATCGCAGTTTTTCTTCAACTATGTGAAGCATTCAGAGAAAATGGGCCACCCACATTTCATCGATACGATGATCAAATTACCACCAAGTATACGGATTCCTTCTCTCTAAAAGTGGTGCTGCATCTGACCATGTGTCAGATAGAGGCAGGTTTGTCAATCCACATTCATTCATTTTACCCAGAATGAGTAACTTTCTCTTTCTTTATTCATTCCATGAATAATGAGTGAATAATTTGTAATAATAACCTACATATCTAATAACTTCAATTTAAGATAAAACGAATAGGAAACGAGTAATTAACACATATGCACATCCTTATTTTCAAATTTTGAATAATTCAGTAATTAATGAACACATACATAATTATTTTCAAATTTTGAACTATTGAATAATGACTGAATATTTATTTTCAACTTTTGAACAAATGGATAATGAACAAGTTACTTTTACCAATTTTTAAATTTAATACGTTCTGAATGAAGAAATATTTTTTGAACAGCTTTATCGACAAGGCCAGCGCGGTTGGACACTTTGAAAGAGCTTCAGTTGTACATGATCCTATGGGCGGACGACAGAATGATGCCTGACAATCTTGTAAACGATGATTGAACAAGCACCGCATGGGATGTCCTTTCAATTTATGGCTTGGTACGAGAATGGACTGACGATGCGGGAAATATTAGGCGCACGCATATTTGTGGGAATCACTGTATTGATATAATGGTCGTCGAAGGGGAAGAGTTTGACGAAGAATTGGATTACGGAGTTCCACAAGGTGGTTTTGTTAGGTATAATTACCCAAATGTGGAATAGACAAGTTAACCGAGGTGGACCTTTTAAAGAATTTTGCCAGATGTACGGAAAAAACTTTTGAGAAATACAGCATTTAGAGTTTCGCTCTTGCCAGCGCGCAGCGTTTGGATTTGCAAAGCTGCTACACCCGAAAAGACACTCCATGTACATACGTGGAGAGGGTAACCATCATAGGAAAATGCGGGATATATTAAGAAATTAACTTTTTATCGCAGTGAAAATACATTTTTTCACAATTTTTTAAGTAAATGAAGTGTTTTTATACCGATGAAAAGCTAACTTCTCCAAAAAACCAGTATTTTCCACTGAGAATTATTTATCTTGGTTATGTTGATTTACAACTTTTTGGGGATGTCACGGCCGTGTAAATCAAAACCTTGGAAACAACTGAGATCAAACTATTCTGTTCTCAGAGAGTATAACTTGCGTGTTCGACAATTCCACTGTCATGAACAGATGTGATGAATAAATAAGTTGAGAGAAAACGTCAATATCTTAGTTTTCGTTTAATATTCGATTTTTTCATAGCTCAAATTTCATTTGCATTCTTAAATTTTGCTTTGGCAAAGACATGTTTGTGCATACATTTCATTGCGAATACTTTTCATGATTCTTGTAAATAGGTATCAATAATATTAACAAGTAGCGTACACATGTAATGGTCATATTACAAGCGTTGTGTAACGATCACTTCCGTGCAGCTAGATGGCATTCAAACGAGTTATGTGCTGGCATTATTTTGCTCGTAGAGATCAGGAGAACCACATTTCGTTTAAAATTGCGATTCAAGCCACAATTTAATTTAATAAATAGGGTAAGTCGACGTGAGATCGTCCCGTTGACATCGACGAATGTGTCGTTTTTATGAGATTGGATTTCAAGTCACTGTGTCGATATTTTGCAGAAAAGGTTTCACTTCCGTGCGGCTTCATGCTATTCACCCGAGATATGCGCAGTCATTTTTTTGCTCGTAGGTCAGTCTTACGATAACTCTCGTTAAACTCCATCGATTTGGAACACATGTAAAGTAGAGTAAATGAGGAGATAAGTCTGAAGATGAGCGAATTTAGGAAAGTGGTTGACCGGTCGACGTCATATAGATGGGTGGGGTATTATGCACCGAAATTTCAAAATCGTTCTAGAAGGGTAAAATTTGGCATTGAGGTGGCTATTGATGTGCATCGAAGCCAATAACGAAAAACTAACATTTTATACAGCGATGGATTTGGGCATTTCGCCTGGAATGAATTACATGCGGCCTCCATTTGAAACAGCCTACTCCCAGACAAAACCCCCCTTTTACAACTCCCCTGAGACGAAAATAAATTTACTGGCCGGATGCAAAGTTTCAAAATTTCCCCAGTTATTGGCTCCGAGAGATTTGATATCTGGGGTTCCGAGTAAACAGTCTCAACCAGTAAATAAAACATAACAGCTAAGCCGACGTCCTCCCAAACCAGTGAAACTCGGTGATGGGCTGTTGTTGTTTTTGGCTGCACACTTAAAAATATTATGTTGGATTCTATAATATTGAACGCATCGAGATAGTCAAGATCGGTTTGCGGAATCATATTTATGACCTCGGAGGAAGGATCCTCTTAACTTAATCACCACCCCCCTCACACCCAGAGGGTGTGGTCGGGGAAAAATGAGATTTTAACTAAAATTGAATTTATGCATGAGATACTCTGAAATGAAGTGTTCCGGCGCTGATTGGTGAAGTGAGACAGCAATCTCGATGGTCGTTATGAAATGATTTTTTGAATTAAATATTTAGATGGAATTAAAACTGGTGATGCTAATGTGTCGCATATGCATGTGTCCTGATTAAAATGAACAACTGCATTATTTTACGAATATTTTCATCTTTATTGTTCAGAATGCATGCTAAAATATAGTAATGGAAGAAAATGTGTTTTATTATACAAACAATTTGGGTAGGGGTTCCAGTCCCGGGATTTTATTCCCGGGAATTCCCGGGAAACGGGATCCTGAAATCCCGGGATTTGAAGAACTGTGTTTTTGGGGCGTGAGCTGTCTGCTCATTGGTGGGATATCTCAGTTTGACCTCAGGAACATTATGATGGCGATGGGGGTGGCTCCGTCTTATTATGCCGAGTTCGAAAGTAGGCGTAAATGCACTCGTGCGAAATGATACGCGAAAACTACTTGAATTGGGCTTACAAACTCAAAACGGAGCTTTATTTTACATAGGGCGATTACTCGTAGATTGACTTATATCGACATGAGACCTTAGTTGTTTAAAAATATCGAGAAATATTTTAAAAGCTGGCTGTTAGTTTGAAGGTAAGTTTCCTCCTCCTCGGCTCGATTGGGTCTGAATTTCTTTCTTCTTTTCCCTGACTAAAACTCCTCTTTTCTTGATGCCACATCATCCTTACATTTACATTCACTGGCTAAATAGTGGCCCGAGTTTTACATACGACTTTGTCTTGACTTTTTGTTACACAAGGATTTTTCATCATACATACATATGGGAATTTCATATTCATAAAACTGTTTCATAATGTGTCACTGCCCATGCCCAATATCTCAAAATCATTAATTTACATACAGTTAAACCTTAAAATTTATCAGCTAAAAATTATATCATTATTCAAATAAGTAAAATTATTCACGGCGACAACAAACTGAAATCCCGGGATTTCGGGATTTTTCAATTTGTCATTCAGAATTGAAAATTACTTATAATTTAAAATTTTAATAGCAGTTTTAAATAATTATCGGTTATATGATTAGTAAGAAAAAGCTTCGATGATCATAACCAATCAAAATTGATCCTGAACTCGAAAATATAAATTTTAAACAATATTAGTGGCCACATTTAATGTACTCGTACGTTTATCCAAATTTCATAATTTGCAAGTAACATTTATAATACAAGATGGAACTTAAAATTTTCTAATCTCGATGTCAGATTATAACTTGAAGGAACAAATAAACCTTATTTTCGGTATAATTATAGAATCTGAAATCAGTTATGATCAAAAATGCTAAGATGTTAGAAGTGATTTCGAATTTTTGTCGATGAATTTAAGGCTGTATGAAAGGCTTTTTGAACGTGGTAGCTCATATACATGTGTACTTATTTAAACTTGAAATTTTTGAATTACCAACCTCCATGTCCAATTGAAGTTTTTCAATATTAATGTTAATGCAGGTTAGGCCAATTAATATTGATATTTGATAAACGTAAATTTATGCATTTCGGATTAACATGCTGACAAATCCTTGATTAATTATTTAAGTTTTCTGGAATGAAATTATTAAACTCTTTCTTCACACCTCTCCAAAATAGTGAATTTTAACCAAATTGGGCTTACACAATACATGGAATTTTTAAATTTGCCATAGTAGGCAAAACAATATAATTACTAATTTGTATTGCTACAGTACATAAATATGTATGTATTTTCAAAATATTATTTTGTGTAGGCCAGAAAATAGCATACTTTAAGTATTTCTGCAGGCACAGATCCCAAAAACACAGAAGGAGGTATTATAAATAGTGCTCGGCACGAGACGAGACGAGACGAGATTGCCTTGTCTCGTCTCGTCTCGAAAGTGACTCGAGACGAAGTAATCGAGACGAGACGAGACGAGATGTCTCGACATTCATCCATGTTTTTCAAAATATCTTTTGTATTCTTCAGATAATTACAAAATACAAATACACAAACTGCAAATATTTAGAATATTAATAATTGGCCTTGTATTCCTTATATAGTAAACTACATACTAGTAGTTTACACAAAAAAATAAAGGATAAATCTTAATCGTAAGCTAGTAACAGGACGATAAAAGTTTACGACGCTTCCATTGAGTCATTTCACGTCAATTTTCGTTAGTACGTAAACACGTAAACTTACTAACCTTACGAGCTTTTGACAAAACGTACCAATATCTCTTGTATATGATTTTTACCCAGTAAGTCAAATTTTTGGTTCGTAAGCTGATCTTCGCAGGCTTATGAACGTAGTTACGAGATTACGAAGGCTAACATGAAATACCTGACTCGTAACCGTCATAGCTTATGTTACTACATATACATAGAATACTTGGGATATGGATACGAAGAAATCGTTACCCGCAGTATATACAATTTATAATTGGAGTTATATAGTTAGTGTCATATTTGAGTGTCTTTTACGTAAAAATCAGGATATTTGCAAACTGGTTAAAGTTTTGATCATAATTATTCGTTTTATCTATTGTCTCTAAAAAAATTTTTGAAGGATACTGCATTTCCCAAAGCTGCTCGCTCCTTGCAGAAGGCTAGAGGACGGAGAATTTGCTGCTAAATTTCTAAATTTTTGATGTATCGAGACGTCTCGTCTCGACCGAGATTTGTCGAGACGAGATGGCGTTGGTCTCGTCTCGATCTCGTCTCGTCCCGAAATCTTTCGAGACGAAAAAGTTGGTCTCCTCTCGTCTCGTATCTCGTCTTGTCTCGAAATTTTCGAGATAGTCTCGTCTCGCGCCGAGCACTAATTATAAATATGCTCAGTCTCGGTACTTTTGAGAGCCATGTACCTTTTTGTACACCCAAATTTGACTTGACCCAAGTTATAAGGTAATATTTAAATTTCGGGAAAAATTCCCGGGATTTTTCACGGCTAAAACCGGGATTCCCGATTCCCGGGATTTTAAAAATCGTCCGGGATTGGGATCCCTAAATTTGGGGACCAATAATTAACATTAAATTATTATCGGAACGCTACGAATATACCTTAGAACAACCGGTTTCTTGATTGCGTTAATAAATGATGAAACTGAATTTCTAATAAACATTGGCATGTCTTTCCTGTTAAGAACGTAGCTCGCTGTATATTATAATTTGTGTGAGAAATAAGGCAATAACTTTTGCATGAATGGGATTGTTTTATTTGTGGACGACACACTAAAAACTACTGTTTATAATTGAAAATAAAACTAACATTCATATATTGAAAATCAAACTAACGTGTATATATTGAAACTAAAACTACCATCCTTCTTTAATTTCAATTTTTTATCACCCAAGCTAGAAAACTTCACCGCACAGCGCGGGAACACTTCATTTCACAGTATCTCATCTCTGGATCCAATTTGAGTAAAAATCTCATTTTGCCCCGACCACACGCCCTGGAGCCGAGGGGGTCCGGCACAACTCAGAATCACTAAATTTCACAGTATCTCATGCATAGATTTAATTTTAGTGAAAATCTCATTTTCCCCCGACCACACCCTCTGGGTGTTAGGGGGTGGTGATTAAGTTAAGAGGATCTTCCTCCCGAGGTCATAAATATGATGCCGCAAACCGATCTCGATATACTCGATGCGTTCAATATTATAGAATCCAACATAGTATTTTTAAGTGTGCAGCCAAAATCAACAACAGCCAATCACCGACTTCCACTGGTTTGGGAGGACGTCGGCTTAGCTGTTATGTTTTATTTACTGGTCTCAACCTT